TAAGAAGGCCAAGAAAACACTGGAATTATGCTGATGTTTTAGTAACTCCAGAAAATTTTAAATCACTAATATTACTTTCAATGTATATATCTGTCAAAAATACATAAATATATTCATTTTTGTTCTTTTTCGGGCATTGATAATTAAAAGTGAAAAATGTTTGTTAGTTCTTATTGATCATTAAAAAAACGCTTTTTGTGAAATAAAATATTGTGGTTAGATTAATTCCTACTCGGGGTAAAACAATTATGATCAATCAATGAAACCTCTTTAATACAGATAAATATATGTAAGACATGCTTTTCACCAAAAAATTTCATGGACGAAAATGACACCACAAAAAACGAAAGAAAAAAAATCGTGAACTTTTTATTGATATCAATAAACAAAGTGTCTTTTAAATATATTTACATATAGGCCTACCGAAAGGAAAAAGAAACGCAGGGTAAACTTTTGCGGTGAATTAAATTTGTTTTTTCTTAAATTATGTTTTAGTTTTCCTATCTGTCTTTTTAAATCATTTTTCGAAAAGATATAACCAAATTCCCATTTGATTTTGTCTGATAATTCATGAGTTATTGAAGCTCAAATGGCGATACCCCCCAAAAAAGACAATCGAAAACTCTCATTATCTTCAATGTCTCTCCCGTGCATCTGTCAGAGCCTTATTTCTCCTTTGCATTGCATTTCCTCAGAGTGTTTATCTTTCAAACCCTGGCTATATTTGGCATGGGTAACCACGCAAAAAATACGTCATTAGGCGCGCACATGCGCCAGTGAGAGGAATACAACAGTAAGTTAACTGGCTCAAAAAACCAAATTGCGGAATTGTTTTCTTTCACATTTCGTATGAATGTAATGATTATAATCGTCTACTGTATAAATGGCTGTTTTTGTGGTAGTAAGGCGGCGATTTAAGAAATGGCAGGACGAATAAACCGCTCGTAACATGGCTCTGTTTCGCGTTAACGTCATCGTCACGGTTGATTGCAAACCATTCCAGACCCTCTCTGACAACGGGTAACAAGTTTTATGGGGGAAAATTTACAAGAAACTGCTTAGTAAACCGTTGTTGCCTTTTTCATTAATTAGGCAATTCGGAAACAAGACCTCATTGAACTTCCGTAAACTGTGCCAAGATCGCAAGAAATTCATAATGTCTCTTATATTGAAAAACGATGTGCATACCTCATATGCATCAAATAATGCAACAAGATTTGTTGACAAACTCGTCGTTATCAAATTGCACTTGTTTTGGGCTTTTTAGCGTTTTCCCTCCGTGACGTCATAAATTTCAAGGTTGAGTAATTCTGAATATTGAATTTGGTGCACAGTAAGTAAATTTATCTTTTGACAAATTTTCGTAATTTTCGGTCATGTTGTCAAAATTTTTTCGAACATTATGCTACCCTGCGTTTCTTTTTCCTTTCAGTATATATTTCAGCTTGTCTGTAAATACATGCCGTTATAAAAGCTTTTGTTGTCATAATATTGTTTGAATGTTGATGGTGATAGATGTATGTTTTTTTGAAATAATTAGATTATTTGAAATAATGAATTATTAAGTTGATTACTTTGTGTATCAGTCAGTTGCGTAATCCGAAAATTTTGACCGGAATTATTTCCTCTTTCTATCAATGCCGATAACCAGCAGACAGTTTAGAAATTCGAATTCATAACTTGAATTGTTAAAAATCCCCTTCCAGCCACCTAACTAGATTTACTTTGTTTGACTTGTTCAGGATTTCTGCCGTTTAAGTTTTGTATTTTCAGATAACATTAACTGTCTACAGATACAGGGATCATTAGACGTACATCTTATCCCCTTTGTATTATTTCAAATGTCAACACAAAGTGCTGTAGGCTATATCGTCACCTTTGAGGTAGGTCCGTACTTTTAACATTTTCTGTCAAACTGATCATTTTTTAAATTAAAAACTTTGAATGACTCATGAACTAACTAAAACACCCACAAAATACATATCATTGCGGGTTAATTTTCATACAACATGTCTCAGACTGAGAGTACATACCTCTAAAAATTCAACAGCCAAAATTAAACATAAAGAAGTGTGATATCATAAATTATTTTATTTAGCTGTGCACCAAATCATGTCAAATTTATATCAAAGCTTAAGAAAACAAAAAAAAAACCATTCATTTGCCAGGAGAATATTTGAAATCTTTCCTGGAAAACATGAACAAATTGATGTTCAATCTGGCCACGTCTTTAAGAATAAAATCTCAAAATATCTTTATCTTTTTTTATATTTCTCAAATTCTAAACTGTTTACATGCCATTTCTTCGTTAAAATTAGTAAGAATTAGTATACCTAAGGTTAACAAACACACAAACTTTATTATGATTGACCAGAAAAATTTAACAAAACAGCCCTTGAACAACCCCCATTTTTGGAATGTCAAGTTTTTAAATCATTTGTTTTACAAAATTTAAAACGAAGGTGAAATTTAAAAAGATGATTTAGGCCTAAAATCTATAAATTAGATCTCAAGTTTGTTTTAAAAAATGAAAGCTTTGGGTTCATAAAGGCAATAAAGAATTTTGTGTCTGTGTATGTGCTAAAACATATAAATCCTATGGAAAGACTGTAAAATGTTAATTTCCATAAATAGTATATATTAAATGCTTGGTATTCAAATTGACACTATAATTAATAAATATATACATGTACTTATTATATTATTTTCAAGCACCTAAAAAAATTTAATTTAATTAAAAAAATGATAATCAGAATTCTATATTAGTGCGTAAAAGTAAACTTCAAGAGAAAGAAGTTCGACAAATCAGGAGTAAATTTGCCTAGTTACATAGAGGAGAAAACGAGACCGGAGGTTCTCTTCGAGAGATAGAGAACTTCGGGAGATTGGAGTTCGAGCCACCGAGAGTCACCTGTACTTATCAAATTATTTTCAAGCACCTAAAATAATTTAATTCAATAATACAACATGTTAATCAGAATTCTATATTGATGTGTTAAAGTGACACTGGATCAGTAACAGTATAGGCCTTCCTTAAGTTGGTCGGGGGAACAGACACAGGAATCCTTGGACATATGTCTCGTGAAAGGGTTTTAATTGTCAACATTAAGTGCGGTGAAGTCATATCATCACCTTTGAGTTGGATGTGGAAAAAGATAAGAATCCTTAGACCTATATCTCGCCACAGTGGTTTTATCATAATTGTGATTTAGCCATATCGTCACCTTTAAGTTGATTGTGAAATATGATGTTGACTGTTGTTACGTTGATGTTGATTTGATGATAATTTCACATATATAGACAATTTAAAGTAAAAAGATATATAGAGAGGACCTTCAGATATCCGGATGCTTCAGTATCTGGACGATGTTTCTTTGGAACAGAATTTTTTAACGTTATTTTGTCTTGTTTAACTGGTAGTTCAGATATCTGGACGCTTCACATATCCGGACAAATTGACTAGGAACAAATTAAAGCGCCCGGATACATGAGGCTCTACTGTATTTAATTAAAAATTGATATACCGGTAGCATGATTGTGAACCCAAACCCAGCATGATACTTGCTGTTTCAGACGACACCTAAAATGTTGTTGTAGGGGGTGAGCCCTGTTGTCTGGCGGCCCCAAAGTTGATGTTGATTGTTTTGTTGAAATGCATTTATCTGACCACGGTGGCCAAAATCTACCATACAAGAAATAGAGAGACGTCAAATGTGTTTTAAGTCTGAAAAAAATCATAAGCAAAGTTGCAAATACAAGCAAAGGGCTTGTGTAAGCCCATGTATATAATAGGTGTCTTGGTAGGATATCCCATAAGGCATTACTGTCTGAAAATTGAAATCTAAAGACCTAAACGTTTTTTTTTTAATTTTAACTGTGTTTTCTAATAGTCTGGTCTACTAATAGTAGTATAGTTAACTACTAAGTTAAAATTCATTAAGTAAATGGACATTTACACCTTACATTTGTCTCTGAAGAGAATTAGCATTGTTTAACCTTATCCTCATTTAAACTGAGTGATTGTCATCGAAAGCTTTTTACATAAATTAACCCACTAGTAATGGACAAATAAACTGCGTTTGATGTATGCCATATTTTTCAATAACAAATAAAAATATTATATACACCTTTCACACGATAATAAAGTATCTGCGTTGTCCTTTGACTTGTTTTCATTAAGTATAGTAGCTATCTAGACAATGGCGTTCAGATGTTTTTTCTTGTATGTTTACATGCTATATGAACTTCAAGGCAAATGTAAGTTATATTAAAATTATTTTTTTTTTTACTTAAGTGCATTAATTGAGAAATTAGCTGCTAAGATCGAAAGTAATAAATTGATTTGAATCATAGATATTATCTTACATTTGTATTTAGAAAGAAATCAAAGAACATCATTGCAAAAAAATGTTATATTTAGGAAACATCAAAATCATAGATGTTAGCAATTTTAAAACACTTCAAAGGCAGACCTATTGACTTAAAGAAACATTTCTTTTTCGATCCCTTCATAAAATTAAGTTTGTAAATAGTATGCACTGTTTGAAGTTTTCGAAAAAAAGATTCGGCTAAATTGTTGTATTTGTGCTGATAGCATTACAACGAAATTAGATTCATAGATTAAATATGCATCATTTAAATATAACTTTAAAGGTTTACCTGATGATAGGGGGATAGTACTGGGAGTCTGGAATAATGCTTCACTGTCTACAATCACGACAATACCCACTTCTGGGGCGGACCAAATAACCACGATTCCTTTTGCGTTGAATCCAAAAAACACGAAAATCACAAGCATCGCAGCTGATCCAGGGAACAAAATGTTGTTCTTATCTGCTGGAAGAGAAATATTTGCAGTTAACAATTACAGTATTTGGCAGAATGAATCTTTGACCTTTTCACTGATATTCAGTGGAAAGTCATATGCCTTTGGTCAAATTGCATTTGATCATCTATCAAACAATCTATATTGGTGCGATGGATTTCTCAACTGGATAGCCATGAAATCATTGAATGTGAACAATACCGATACCATGTACAAAGTAATCATTGATAAACATTTGGAGCAGCCGGAAGGGCTCGCACTTGACCCTGAAGATGGGTATGTTAATATGAATAGAAACTTGAAAACATGAAGATGAGTATGTTATTATGAATAGTAACATGTGAATAGGTATGTAAATACGGCAGAAACATTTAGGTAGGTATGTAATTATAAAAAGCAACATGGAAACGTGTATGTGAATATGAATAATTATGATACCATGACAACTGGAATGAATTTATTTTTACTTTCATTTGGATGGGCATTGTTACACCATACAACGACGCGTGAGGCCGTATGATCGAGTTGTATTTTAGTATTTAGCCTGCTTCTCCTTAAGAGTGAGATTTATTACGGCACAACCTTTTGATTTAAAACAATATTTTTAGATCTTGCTCGAGGGTCATCAAATGTTGTGAATTCAGATTTCTTTTAGAGTTGACTTAGTTATCTAACAAAATTTCTTTTTATTCTGTTCATCTTTACCTATACACACCCTGTATTGTAGATTGCTATTCTTTTCCGAGAACTCACCGAGTGTTCGAATAGAAAAAGCTTCCTTAGATGGAGAGAATAGATCTGTTATTGTATACAGAAGCTTGTTAAGAATAATGTCCCTTTCCACGGATACTGAAAACGATCTGCTGTATTGGGCTGATCTTGATCGAGAAACAGTGGAGGTTTGTAACTATGACGGGTCCAACAGAACGGTCCTGAGACGAATGGTTGATGTACCACTCACAGGAATACAATATTTTGAGGTAGTCCTTTTTCGTTACAAATATGTGTATTTAAATAGAGTTTTACTTTAAATTTTAATCTTCAGTTTAATCTTTATAAATAATGAACAGTAGATTCACCTACTGCTTCATTTTTGGTAGTTCTTGTGCTAAATACAGTGCAGGGAACTAATTTTGTTACATAAACCAGCATCAGGATCAGCATAAGTAGGATCAGGATAGAACTAGCATCAGCATCAGCATTTAAAAAAACAGCATTACTTGGATCAGAATCAGCAAGCAAAGGATAGAACTAGCATTGACAAAAGTGAAAACAGATAAAGGAAAGTCATTTAATACAAATTACAAGTAAAAATTACCCCAAAAATTATTTTTAATGGCTTAAAATAGCGATGCTGTTTTTGAATTATCCACTTCCGGCAGGATAATCCTACGTCCGGTAGCATTACTAGCATTGACCTAGTTTCAAACCAGCATCAGGATAAGGATCAAACCAGGATCAGGATAAGGATAACTAGCATCAAAATCAGCAAGCAAAGGAAGCATCAAAATCAGCAAGCATAGGAAGCACCGAAATCAGCATTGATGCTGTAACAAAATTATTTCCCTGCACTGTACATCGTAAAACCGGAGTATGGAAGCGTATTGATACAATCATAAGATTAATCTTATTCATTGACAGGGTGTGATTCACGGTGTAAGCCTTCGTAGAAGAAAGCTTGTTGGAATTGACGTCAATTCGAGAAAAATTCAGTACGAAGTGACATTACAAATCGGTGATCCATTTGTCTTAGCTGTTTATGACGTTAAAACCAACACAAGTTTGACTGGTACGTATGGAAGTTTCATTTTTTAGTTTATAATTTTTCGATTTTCTTTTCATTTTAATACATGCATAATAATTAGTTTTTACGTTTCCAGGGTAGTTTGATTTAATCATGCCACTCATCTTTTAGAGTAAAAAAGAATTGTTTTAAATGACCGTTCCTACACGTCACAAATTATAAAATCATTTCCAAATAACAAAAATTACCATATTTTCATTTTTATACACTTGTGAGAGATTTTAATGAAATCTGAATGCTAATATTAAACTAGATGCTGTCATGAGACAGTAATACCCGCACTAAGGTGTTTGCCTCTAAATACACGCTCCTACATATTGGGCGGCTTTCCAAGGAAAAAGTCAAAATAATTCTATATAATTTACATGTATTCATCAAATTGAGTATGAAATTCTCCCTGTGACCTATAACTCAGAACCTCTATATATTTATTCAACATGCCTAATTCATTATATACCAGTTTGAATTCTATTAATGATGTAAATTAGATATTGATAAATGTTTTGCTCATAATAGGACCTTTTTAAATTTACTAATCCCCCCTCGACACCACAATCACACTGCACATACTTTTGGCTAGATGGAACAGTTTTGTTAAAACATCGTTTGTTATGAATTAATTTAAAATTTGTTCTTGTACTATGATTGTTAACATGTAAATTTCTACATCACATCAGGTTGCATCACCGATTATCATATTTTTAGATTAAACTCCATTCGGCACACCTCGGCCGATTCCAACTTCATCTGATAAGGTGACGGAATCGACGGCACGAAGGTTTGCCGAATGGAATAGCAAGGGGTGTTGCTAAAAGGCGGAACGGAAAACGGAACAGAAAGCGGAACGGAACGTAACGGAAAACGGAATATATTATTTTGGATTAAATCACTTCAAATACACAAATTTTATCATAAACTATATATATTGTACACATTCAACTCCTCCCACTATTAAATACAAGAAACATATTGACGCAAGCGTCAAAAATCGGCCGCAAACGTACCAATTAATTTATTCTTTCATAATACAATTAGAAACTAAATTCTTATATTTATCTGTTAATCAATATATATATCTATGACATTAAACATTTGAATGCGACATTCCAGGGTTTTCTTCAGTACATAATACCTGTACATTGCTACATGTACAATGTATTTTAAAAGCAACTTACTCATAGTTCTCTGCGTCCCCGCACTCAGTTTCATTTGTACAAACGAACTCGATCTGGCGGAAGTTTGATGTTTAAGTAGTTTTAACACTTAACCATCAAAACTAACGTTTAAACTTATCTAAATATAGAAATAGTTTAACTTTAAATAAAACAAAACAAATATGTGGGGCTCCTCGCTCGCTCAGAGGATGTTGAAACCCCCAAATTCCCTCTAGATCCGCCACTACATTTTTTCTCTATCTTGTTTTGGTGCGAGATGTGGCGGGAAAAGGCTTGGCATATTGTAAAACGCGCTTTGTCCTTGTCTGTTGGATAAAAATCTCCTAATATTCTGTCTGATAATAAACTAAGATTAAGTCATATTTTTGAAAACTTAAAAGCACATTGTATATTTATATTTACACGTCATTTTAAATAATATATACAACAAATCCTGTTGAAGTAGAGAAAGTAAATTTGTTTATACATGTATATAACGTGGCCCTTGCTTTAGACTATGCCCAACATGTGTGCTATTTCTCCGCACTTCAGTTACGTCGGAGTTTGTCAATCAGGATTGGATGAAACATTTAACCCATTATTTATAAAATTTTAATTTTATGATTATTGTGCGTTTTTGTTTAACATTTAAAAAATCTTTCTTAATATTCTGTTACATGAATGTTAAATATTTTTTATTCAAATTGTTCTAACTCCGCAGAAACGCACGGCCACTTAAAACTTTCATATCATATAACCGACCGCCTCCTGGCGGCCGGTAACAAGTTGATTTTGTCCTGCTCAGTCTCTTATTTGCAAAAGTCGCTAACATAGTAGTCACATAGAATCGAATTTGATGGGGGATAAGTTCCAACTCCCAACATTTGTTGAGCACTAACTTGCTACATTTATTATATTCACAAAAAGGGTGAGAATGTGAACTTGAACGAACATTTCCGTAGTACTTAAAAAGGTTATGACTGGGGGGGGGGGGCAAATATTTGATATCTAAATGAACCATGGAAAGACAAAAAAAATGTACAAAAAAATTATTGAGATTACGTTTAGGGCAAACCTTTACAGCAAGCTCGAATAAACATCTCTTATGTGTATACACAGTGGTTGTTAAAATTTTATTTAAAAAATAGTCCTTTCTGGGGGATAGACAAAGTTGTTGTAGATAAAATGCAGATTGCAGAACCTTTGCATTCATTGAAGTTAAATTTTGTTTGTTTGCAGCACATATGTTTGCATGTTTGGGGGGGGGGGGGGGAGGTGGGGAGGCGTATATGAATGACCCCGTAATAATGAGTTTGTTTTCCCGCTCTCTCGGAAATGTCTTAGAAGTTGTTATAGGTCTGTCCCCCCCCCCCTTTGTGTCCAAAATGTACATAAGGTTTAATAAATCTAATGTGGCTGTGGGGCCCTACTCAGACCCAAAATTGCTAACTCCCTTTCAAGACTCGCGAATTCGACACTGCGTGCATAATCTGAATAGCATAACTAGTTATTTTCGTCTTTTTCAGACATTGATATTGGAAACAAACTAAAAAAAGGGGTGGGGGTCATAAAATTTTTCCAACATACAACAAATTTGACAAGCATAAAAAGGGGGGATATGTCCTTTGCCCAAACACGTAAATCCTATTTCGTGTGTGCGTTTGGGGGGGATTTCTTTCAGTAGCATTTTTTCACGGAGGGTGTGTATGACTCATGAATAAATAAAAGTTTACAATTAATTTTTATTAGAAATGACTTTTAAAACAAGAATATTGCTCTTTTATCTGATTTATATTGAATCTATGTTATTTGTTTGACAAAAAAATTTCCGTTTTCCATACTGTTCCGCTTTCCGTTCCGCGTTTTAGCAACACCTGGAATAGCATTAGCACATGCTGTAGTCTGGTGTGCATTGGATTAATTATTCATTTTGTGTTATAATTGGATTATACTTCGTGAAGTTTACAAGACGTATGGAGGTCGGTAAGTACAAGTTTAAGTATAGTGGGGGATAAAATAAATCCAAACGATTAGGTTAAAGTTCAAAAAGGGTCAAAGATCATCGCATGCCACACTAGACGAATTTCATATTGTGAAGTTATCTCCCGTTGTCGATGTTACATTCAGTTACTGCCAATACTGGTGCGGATCCAGAATTTTTTTTCGGGAGTAGGGAGGGGGGTTCACATCTCAGTCAAAAAATTCCAGCCCAGAATTTCCTGACAAGCAGGAGAAAAAAAACTGAAAACAAATAAACAAAATAAAAACAATGATAGTGGGGTCAATGTTTTCTAAGTTAGGAGGGGGATGTCCAAAGTCATTTTTTATTTGCTTCAGTATATAGTCTTGTTTAAATAACACAGCAAATTCCAGGGGGGGGGGGGGGGGGCCGGTGGGCCTGCCCACTCCCGATCCCTGAAATAACAATATATTTTGTGATTCCAATTAAATAGTTCATTTTTTTCCATTTGACTAATTATACATATTTTGTTTCTTGTGTTTATATTATGTCTGTCTATTTGTCTGCAGAAATTATAACCTTGCCTTTAAGTTTTAAGTGGGATGGGCTATACAAATGGCTTCCACATTTTATTGGTTTATTTCTTTTATTTGGGTACCTTTTTTTTATTTCTGATCACTTGACCTAGGATACACATTTTTACAAGAAATTTAAATTACCAAACTTTAAACTTGGCCTAAATTTTGATCAGTAGGTGCTAGGGCTTTCATGCTTAACATGTGTATTCATTGTGAACTGTCAACAGATATAAATATGTTTCACCTTGACCCTAGATTTTGAACCACTTAAAAAAATTAACCTTGGCAATTAACTTCTGAACAGGAAGTACTAGGGATAATTACTTATTTCAAATGTGCATTCCTTGTGACAAGACTTTCTTCTGATACCAACAATTTGAACCCTTTGACCTTGACCTTTGAGTTTGACATATATTTGAGAAACTTCAACCTTTGCCATGGGCTTCCATACAGGGACATCAGTGTTTCACAAACACATCTTGTCTTCATTATTATTTGGTGGTGTCTCCATATGAGGGAAGAATTCCCGAGAGAGATATGTATTCACAACAAACAAACAAATTACTAAAGAAAATATAAAACATGAATATGTTGGTCATGCATATCTCTGCATGAAAAAACAGCTTTTCAAACACTGCAACCATATTGTAACCCTTTCAAAACACTCATTCGAGCTTTTCTGGTTTCCTTATCATATAATGTCTGTCGTGACGTGTTGTCAATCTGTTTGTCTGAAAACTTTTTACATTTTTAACTTCTCTAAAACCACTGGGCCAATTTTACCCAATTCATATAGAAATATGTACAGGGTTATGTCAGACTGTCCATCTGTCTCAATAAATTTAACCTTTACAGGTCATCATGGTCATATCTACTAAATGAGAAGAGACAAGGCATTCATATTAAACTTATGTACTAGTATTTACCTGTGAGAATGGCATGGTTTTTTTTTTTACATATGACCTAGAATTTTGACCTACTTGCAAAAAAATTAAATTGTTATAAATTCATCATTTTGAAAGAGAAAAGTTAGGGCATTCATATTATAATGCATGTATATATTTACCTGTGGTAAGACCTTTCCAAATGAATCATGACTTTTACTCTGTGACCTTGACCTTGAAGCCTAACCTACTTTTCAAAAATGTTGCATTTGCTTATAACTTTTGATTGAGATAAGATATGACTCTCACATTTGACAGGTACATTAATTACTCATAAGAATTCAAGGTGTTTCCCAGCATGCGGTGCTTTTTTACCCCTTGACGTTGATGTTTTACATAATTTTCAAAATATTTACCGGTAACTCTCCTAAGAGATGATTAGGCTTCTGAGTAACATTAAGGAGGACTTCAGGAAAGACAGGACTTTTTGCACAAAAAACGTCATTTTTCCACCCCCATTTGACCCCCTGGGGAAAAATCAAAATTATGAAATCTACATGACACCACCAACCATCTCCCAAAAGATGATTAGGCTACTGTGTAAAATGTAGGAGAAATTCAGGGAAGATGGGGCTTTTTGCATAAAAAACGTCATTTTTTGACCCCCATTTGACCCCCTGGGGCAAAATCAAAATTCCGAAACCTTACTGCACATCTACATGACACCACCAATCATCCCCCAAAAGGTGATTAGGCTCCTGAGTAAAATGTAGTTGGAGTTCAGGGAAGACGGGACTTTTTGCCTAAAAAACGTCATTTTTCGACCCCCATTTGACCCCCCGGGGCAAAATCAAAATTCCAAGACCTTACTGCACATCTACATGACACCACCAATCATCCCCAAAAAGGTGATTAGGCTGCTGAGTAAAATGTAGAAAGAGTTCAGGGAAGACAGGACTTTTTGCCTAAAAAACGTCATTTTTCGACCCCCATTTGACCCCCCGGGGCAAAATCAAAATTCCAGAACCTTACTGCACATCTACATGACACCACCAATCATCCCCCAAAAGGTGATTAGGCTGATGAGTAAAATGTAGAAGGAGTTCAGGGAAGACGGGAGTTTTTGCATAAAAAACGTCATTTTTCGACCCCCATTTAACCCCACGGGGCAAAATCAAAATTCCAAAACCTTACTGCACATCTACATGACACCACCAATCATCCCCCAAAAGGTGATTAGGCTGCTGAGTAAAATGTAGAAGGAGTTCAGGGAAGACGGGAGTTTTTGCATAAAAAACGTCATTTTTCGACCCCCATTTCACCCCCGGGGCAAAATCAAAATTCCAAAACCTTACTGCACATCTACATGACACCACCAATCATCCCCCAAAAGGTGATTAGGCTGCTGAGTAAAATGTAGAAGGAGTTCAGGGAAGACGGGACTTTTTGCACAAAAAACGACATTTTTCGACCCCCATTTGACCCCCCGGGGCAAAATCAAAATTCCAAAACCTTACTGCACATCTACATGACACCACCAATCATCCCCCAAAAGGTGATTAGGCTGCTGAGTAAAATGTAGAAGGAGTTCAGGGAAGACAGGACTTTTTGCATAAAAAACGTCATTTTTCGACCTCCATTTCACCCCCCGGGGCAAAATCAAAATTCCAAAGCCTTACTGCACATCTACATGACACCACCAATCATCCCCCAAAAGGTGATTAGGCTGCTGAGTAAAATGTAGAAGGAGTTCAGGGAAGACGGGACTTTTTGCCTAAAAAACGTCATTTTTCGACCCCCATTTGATCCCCCGGGGCAAAATCAAAATTCCGAAACCTTACTGCACATCTACATGACACCACCAACCATCTCTCAAATGATGATTAGGCTGATGAGTAAAATGTAGAAGGAGTTCAGGGAAGACGGGAGTTTTTGCATAAAAAACGTCATTTTTCGACCCCCTTTTCACCCCCCGGGGCAAAATCAAAATTCCAAAACCTTACTGCACATCTACATGACACCACCAATCATCCCCCAAAAGGTGATTAGGCTGCTGAGTAAAATGTAGAAGGAGTTCAGGGAAGACGGGAGTTTTTGCATACAAAACGTCATTTTTCGACCCCCATTTGATCCCCCGGGGCAAAATCAAAATTCCAAAACCTTACTGCACATCTACATGACACCACCAATCATCCCCCAAAAGGTGATTAGGCTGCTGAGTAAAATGTAGAAGGAGTTCAGGGAAGACAGGACTTTTTGCATAAAAAACGTCATTTTTCGACCCCCATTTGACCCCCCGGGGCAAAATCAAAATTCCAAAACCTTACTGCACATCTACATGACACCACCAATCATCCCCCAAAAGGTGATTAGGCTGATGAGTAAAATGTAGAAGGAGTTCAGGGAAGACGGGAGTTTTTGCATAAAAAACGTCATTTTTCGACCCCCTTTTCACCCCCCGGGGCAAAATCAAAATTCCAAAACCTTACTGCACATCTACATGACACCACCAATCATCCCCCAAAAGGTGATTAGGCTGCTGAGTAAAATGTAGAAGGAGTTCGAGGAAGACGGGAGTTTTTGCATACAAAACGTCATTTTTCGACCCCCATTTGATCCCCTGGGGCAAAATCAAAATTCCAAAACCTTACTGCACATCTACATGACACCACCAATCATCCCCCAAAAGGTGATTAGGCTGCTGAGTAAAATGTAGAAGGAGTTCAGGGAAGACAGGACTTTTTGCATAAAAAACGTCATTTTTCGACCCCCATTTCACCCCCCGGGGCAAAATCAAAATTCCAAAACCTTACTGCACATCTACATGACACCACCAATCATCCCCCAAAGGGTGATTAGGCTGCTGAGTAAAATGTAGAAGGAGTTCAGGGAAGACAGGACTTTTTGCATAAAAAACGTCATTTTTCGACCCCCATTTGATCCCCCGGGGCAAAATCAAAATTCCGAAACCTTACTGCACATCTACATGACACCACCAATCATCCCCCAAAAGGTGATTAGGCTGCTGAGTAAAATGTAGAAGGAGTTCAGAGAAGACGGGACTTTTTGCATAAAAAACGTCATTTTTCGACCCCCATTTGATCCCCTGGGGCAAAATCAAAATTCCGAAACCTTACTGCACATCTACATGACACCACCAATCATCCCCCAAAAGGTGATTAGGCTGATGAGTAAAATGTAGAAGGAGTTCAGGGAAGACGGGACTTTTTGCATAAAAAACGTCATTTTTCGACCCCCATTTCACCCCCGGGGCAAAATCAAAATTCCGAAACCTTACTGCACATCTACATGACACCACCAACCATCTCCCAAAAGATGATTAAGCTACTGTGTAAAATGTAAGAGGAGTTCAGGGAAGAAAAGTGTGACAGACGGACGGACGGACGGACGGACATGAGTAACAACAATATACCCGAACTTTCTTTAGAAAGTGCGGGTATAAATAGTGAGTAGTAATAGCACTTAATCAGTAATGAATTTCATGATCATCCATTCCTTCCTTAGATCCATGCTCTGGTCAGTATTGCCAGCACATCTGTGTCAACACTCCACCAGGTCCAAAATGTCTCTGTGCTGAAGGATATATACTTGGCGATGATAGCTCCTCTTGCAATGGTAAGTAACGTCCAATTATAAATACATATATTTCATTTACAGTCACGATTGCTCTTTCCCCCACCAAACATTTCAACAAATAAATTTACTTTCTTCAATTGATACATGTATAATGTGAACAGATGTATCAAAAATATTATTTTTTTTTTACTTTTGCCTTTTATTTTCAGAGAGATCCTGGTTTTATGACAAAGGAATTATTGTAAATAATGCAACTATGTTTTATATGCTGGATACAAGATCATTAAACGGACAGGCAGAGAGGGTTCCTTATTTTCAAATTCCTACTGCAATAATGACGACGTTTGCCATTAACGCTTATTCAAGAGAAATATACTTTGCTGACGCAAAAAGGAATGAAATATACAAACTTGACATTTTCACGAACCGTTATTCTAATATTCTTTCTACAAATCCTGTAGCAGGTATGCTTAAATATTTAATGGAGTTTTCATTTATAGTAAAATAAAAATGGAGATGGAGTTTTCAATTTAAGTAAATTTAAGAAAAGATCATATGTTAATTCAAGAAGATTGTGTTAACATGCATGTCGTAAAAGGAACAAAGAAACTGATTTAAGTAAAGAAGAAAAATATAAAACTTATTCCTGAATTTTGTTCGAAATATATTTGTTTATTTGTTATTTTCTTTTTTAAAAGTTTATCAATCCGTGTGAAGAGTAATATTCTTGCTACAATGTACTTCTTTTTTAAAGTATTCGTGATTATTTCTACAGAGCAATATTCTGGATCTCATCTTCGACATCCTCTATAATACGAGGAACCTGGGACAGAAATCCTCCAAAAACCCTTATATCTGACTTGGATGATCCGATGTTCCTTAAATATGACATTACAAGTCAAAGGTATTGCCTGAAACTGCATGTATCCTCAAGCTTTCGTTTGTGAATTTTGGTTGGATTTGCATTATTTAAGACACATACATAATATTATCATATTTAATTCATATTTTGACATAAACTAAAGTTGAGTGAGTGGAAGTGTACGGTCACAGATTTGAAACTGTACTTTAATTATTAAACATTGCACCCATTACATATGTTCATGATTAGAAGCAGTAATATTCTTTTATTAAATTAGAAGATAAATTAAATTGAAGATGTTTGAATTGTTCTATTTTTTAATTCGTGTACAATTTTTGTAATACATGTAAGATCATTTTTATTGTCTACAGGATATTTTGGCTGGAGAGTAGTGTACTCGTAAAATATTCACAGCCCAGTGGCTCAGGGTTAGGGTTAAAAGTAATTTATGGAAGGGAAAATAATTTTGTAAGCCAAAGTAATTTCTTTTGTTTTAAATAATTACATCATTCAATATCTTGAAGATCAAAAACTGATGAAATACGTCAATAATTTAACGAGTTGCTGAATACATACGATGGAAATTATTTATATATTACGCAAACTCTGAATTAAAAAAACAACTTTAAATCATTCATTTAAAATGATTTTTAGGATTTCATTGGCTGGCTAAGTGGAGAGGAAATTCATTTTTCAAGCAAAACATCTTCTGCATCAGAGGTTTATTTCAATATATTTCCAAACCCAGTGCAGGTTAAAGCATTTGATCCAATTCTGCAAGATGATTTAAAAGGTAATCTGCTCTCATCTTTTTAATTTACAATGTGGTATAACATTAATAGTATTAACGGGAACAATAAGTAATAACTGATAAGTATAATATTGAGATATTGAACTTATATTGGTGAATATTGGTACAAGTTAACGAGTTATTCCTCCATTGTTGATGTTTCAGATTAGTATTCTGTTTCAAAGCTGTATTGAGAAAAAATATGCACCCTTACAATGTATGTTATCCGCAGGATATAATAACTTCAAAATCAACCCAATGTTTTTTAAGTGATCGAACAACAGTATTAATCTTTGTATTTTTTTTATTTTGTAGGCACTTGTCATATTCTCAATGGAAGATGTGGTGATATTTGTACTCCTACAGGAAACAAAAGTAAATGTGAATGCGACATTGGCTTACAACTCCAAGCAGATCAAAGGTCATGTGACAGTAGTGAGTATTTATTTATATTTAAGAGTAGTACATGTAGCACAATAATAAAGAACTGCGATCAATCCTTAGAAAACGAACCATAGGAAATGACGGGGGTGGGTCTGATGCCTACGAGGAGAAAACATCCCCTATCAACCCACACCCACTAAGAGTCATATGTACAGATCAGATAGACACCATTATCCGTAGTCAAATTAAGTATTAAAAACAAAAACCAATCATTTAGTATGAAAAAGTTAGACAAAAATATGATGTAATTTTTGCTGTTATTAAACTTGGCAGAGGTAAATGTTATATATAAGCAGGTGATAACGTTTTTGATAAAATTTAGTTGTAAATTGGTCCTTATCATCTTCAGTAAGTAAAATTGCACAAAAATGAAACTAGAGGTAGCAGACTCTTGGTATCTAACGCATTTTTTCTTTATTTTGTAGACATTTTGAATTCATATTTGATTTCCTAATTGCGTCTGATTTCACCCACGGACGAATTCTACAGATCAATTTTAATACAGGAGAAATTGTTAAACTACCAATCAATATTCAACGCACCTCAGGAATTACTTTAGATAAAACGACAAAGGAGATAATTTTTTTCCAATTCAGATTCGAGAACAGTACAAGTATTTACACTTCAAGGAAAGCAGGCAACCTTGACAACGCTTACAGGTTCCAGTATTAGTCTATGTGTTATATTTTTCCTGCCGATTCCACGATTTCTGTAAATGGCTTCATGTTTTGTTGTTTTGTTTTGGACAAAATCCAAAATTGATATAAAATGGTGTATGTTCTTTACAAAGTTTTTATTGTAAGATATCAAATTTGATAATGTTTTATGAAAAGTGAGACAGAGAGAGAGTCAATATATACCGGTATATAAAATGGTTGTGTAACAAAATGAAAATACTTTGTTATATGAATTTTTGATAAAGGGTCTTTTTATACATATGTAGGTACAAGTAAACCTCTTAACATATCGATCAATGTGTCTTATGTTTAATATATGCATGTTATATCAAGGTTTTACTAATGCTGAGCGTATAGCTGTTGATCAATCAACCGGAAACATTTACATCACGGCCATTTCTTCTCAGTCAAATAGCAGTTATGTTGGAGTGTTACACAGAACACAATTGGTTCACAAAATATTGATACATGACTTGCAAAATCCAAAAGCAATTGTGTTGCATTCAGCAAAAGGGTATGCCTTTGTTATTAATATCAGTCATACATGTTTCATCGGGTTTATTCAGATTAAGATGATTAAACACGTTTTGGTCATATTCTTGAACTCAATATTCATATTAACTATTTACAAATGCCTTTTGCATTTAGAATACTGCTTTGGACAGAGATTGGAATATTTCCCAGAATAGGAAGGGCATCTATGGATGGTACATCTAAAGAATATATAGTAACAATCAATGGCGGATCCCCAAACGCTTTAGCTTTGGACTTTGAAAGTTTGTTTTTGATTTCTTAAGTTTCATATTTGCTTCAAAATATTTATAATAAAATTATGACTAACATAAATACTGACACACTCTGCTCTATATGACAAGTTCCATGCAATACTGTTTAGCTGATCGACTCTACTGGACTGATGGTCAGAGGAACACAATAGAATATACTGATCTCGATGGAAGAAATCAACGCGTTTTGGCAACCGCCAAGGATGCACAGCTTGCTGATATCGTGTTAAATAGACAGTTTCTATATTATACCTCCTGGAATAGACAGTAAGATACATAATTGACTCAAAGGATTTGCTTACATACAATGTATTGTGTGTTTACTTGGCTTTGCTTTATAATCGACTTCTTTTCAGAATTGATTTTTTAAAAAAAATAGAAACATTAAAAATGGATTTCCTTTTTGAAAGTAAATTCTGATTTTCCATAGATTTATAAAGCTTGTACACTCTAGCTAAACTTTTAATAATATTCTTATATACTGGATTAAGTATCGTAGGGAATCTATTGTCTTCTTTCGCATGTTTGTTTTTACAGTTTATCATGATTTAAATTGATTATTTGCGTAAAAATGGTGTCCTTGGAGGCATGTTGTCTCTGAATGTTTAAGAAACGGACGTTTATAAGAGTACGTATCAGTTGTATAAAATTGATCACCTTATTTTAAATACGATAAAATCTGCACAGATTGAACCCAATGGTCAAAACATCATTACTGGTATATTGCTAAAGAGTAATAATTTAAAAACAGAGGAAAGAAATGTTAGCGATAGTTAAAATAAATATATATCATTTATGAACATAATTATTATCCTCGAAAAGAGAAACACATTTGAGAACGAACAAGCATATTATACTTGCTTTGTTAAATTTATTTGCAAATATCTTATAATTAACATATACAATTGTACCATGTCGATTTCTTAAAATATTTCTAAAAATTATTTTAGGCGTATAACAAGAATTGATAAAACTTCAGGAGCGGAAGTTCCTTTATGGAGAATCACCCTGAGCTTGGACGTCTAGACAGAATTGCTATCTATACAAACGAAATAATTGATGGTAATTAATACTTGCATGCATGTAAATAACAAATTTTACTATAAGAAATTGTGTTCTCCTTTTACAGTGTTTTATGGCAAAAATATACAACGCAGAACTTAAGAAACTAAAAAAATATTTTATTTTCATCTATTATCCAAAGTAACCTTTTTGATATAACACTTGTAAGATATACTAGTCTTTTTTTGTCTAATAAGTATAAAAGGTTTAAAGAGTAAATATTATGACCTAGTAAACCCAAACTGTTCCATAAAGAATGGTCTGTGTAGTACCTTCTGCTTATCTGTTCCTGGAGGAAGAGCGTGCGCTTGTGAAGACAACGTGAGTTTGGAACCAAATAATGCTGTGTGCACAGGAGGTATGATATCCCAAAACTTCTTAGAATAATGTTTAAAAACTGCGTTTCTGTATCAAATACCTCAAACAACTCATAAAACAGTTTTAAATTGTCGTCCGACTTATTTGACTTTCTTTCATTCTGTGTGCTTTTCTATTCATTACTTTTTTTTTACTTCCATACTCTTTGGTGTTTTCATTTCAATAAATTGTATGAAACTTTTAATTTCTTTTAGTGCCAAGTTGTAAAACAACTCTCGTAAATACTGATTTGCTGGAATGTTTTCCATATCCTGGTCAAACTTGTCAGTTTGAGTGCAAGTCGGGTTTTAAATTAATGGCGAACACTACCCTCAGTTGTAATTCCTCGGGTCAGTGGAGCCCAGATACTGATCGTGTGTGTACAGGTAAACATGAAAAGGGGTTGAATAGGAAATCTACTTAAAATGATAACACAATATACATCAAAGGAGCTCTTTTGTTTTTGTCATTTGAGATTTATACAATTGTTTACCGGTAGTTATCTAAAAGCAAAACGCAAACTTTCTACGCATATAGATTTCAAGGTTAAGCAGAATATATGCTTTGGTATAAAAGTTCGGTAGTAATTTAAAAAACCAAAAACAATATTCATGAAAAAAGTTTTTTATTTGAAGTTTAGAGGACTAAAGAACATATAATTATCTAGTAATTTAAATAGTAAAGTTTTAGATAATTCATTGTTTAGTTATCTAAAAGCAAAAACAACAAAACTTACTACGCATTTATATTTCAAGGTAAAGCAGAATATATGCTTTGGCATAAAAGTTACCATAATATCGTATTTTTTAAAAATATAATTCTGTAGTTATTTTAAAAACCAAAAACAATATTCATGAAAAAAGTTTATTTATTTTAAGTTTAGAAGACTTAAGAACATATAATTATCCAGTAATTTAAATAGTACCGTTTATACTAGCCTATAAGTCGGCCGCCTATAAGTCAGCTGTATTAAAAAGCTTATATATCAGAAGGACTGACCTCATATAAAACCGTTCTTTTTATAGCTCGCCTATAAGTCGAACAAAGAGTTTTGGACCAGAGATAAACTCCCCAAAAACCGACTTATAGGCGAGTATATACGGTAATTCAAATAGTTTTTTTTTTTCAAAACTAGACTTATACACTGTATGTGATACATGTATCATGCCTTTTCAATTTTTTTCTACAGAAATATTATGTCTGTCTTCCATTCATCATGCCAGATTAGCTCTCAATTGTAGTAGAAAGGTTGCTGAAACATGTGATTTCTCCTGCGAAACTAACTACGACCGCGTTACTCCGGACTATATCACCTGTAATTCTAGTGGAGATTGGAACAAAGATACTAGCAATTTATGTCTCCGTACGATTCAAAGATTTTCAAAGATTTAATCTTTTATTTAAGTCAAAATTATTGAATAAATAAAATAAAATCAACTTAATGTTTAACATGCTCTCAAAATTATTTTTGTTAATTCTAAATATTTTCACGTATCAAATGCATGGTGCAGGTATATAAAATTATGTTTAAACTGGGAGATTTTTGCACTCTACTTTTAAGGTAATAGCTTGAGAACTTCTTTTAATGCATGTATATGTACATATATATAATTGTAAAACGCTATTTTATATACTTCGTATTGCAGCATTGACAAATGTATCGACACACATACCTGATTCAGAGATCGGCAGATTTTTGTATGTGTACATTGGAATAGGATTTGGAGTCCTGGTGGCTTTGGTAGTGTTCATTGTTGCGTGTCGAATTATTCATCTTCGTAAAAAAACAAAACCCACAGGGTAAGCCATAAAAAAATTGCCAATGGATATCTGACCCCCCCCCCCCCCCAAGTACAAAGCAACATAACACAAAACAAACAAAATAATTTCTTCTTTATTTTACCAGGCTTCAGTACGAAAGCTAGGTCATGTCCGAGAGAAATCACTATTCTACGTTTATGAACGGAGAATATCAAATGGACAGACCGAGCTCAGGAGAATACAACACCATCGCCGAACTGATGGAACATGAAGACGCAAAGGCAGAAAAAGCAATTAGAGACGACAATGATCATTACATAAGTCCCTGTGCAGACACAGCACAAGGCACATATATACAAATGACAGACCCATATGTGAAGCCTTCATAAAGACTAAATGGATAAGCTACAATAATAAACAGTGTTATTATCAAGATCTTGCAAGTAGTTGCGTTGATTTCGTAAGAATATTCTATTTATTTGTTATAAGCATATTGCATGAAATAGACACCGACAAAATATATTTGACGTTTTTCAGGCTTTTGTACGATTTTGATATTTTACGTGCCAGGAAAACGTCAAAACCGGCGACATTACCGAAATTCTCCGCCTCAAAGGAGGCACATTCTAGGATTGATTATAGATACTTGAAACCGAATTAAATTTCAAACTCACACTTTATCAATAGTGCAATACTTTAAGTACTTATCAGTGTCGTTTTCATCGTTCATTTGTAAAATAAACAAACGGAGGAAAACATTTCATCAGACTGTCGAGATCTGTTTTTTTTTCGAGCATTTAAAAATCTTGCAAGTCCTTGATCGAATTGTGGAGTGATATTTATTTTCCTCGATATTAGTGAGTACAAAAAGCACTGTGCTACCGTGTATTGATAAATTTTGATTTCGGTATTTAGTTCGGTTCGCTAGTATCGAAAATAAATTCCTCTTGGATTTGTCGAAAATTCTGATTTTCGTAAAGGCGCCAGTTCTGATATTTTTCTTGCACGTAAAATATCAAATTGCAAAAAATAATTGAAAACGTCAAATATTGTTGACTAGTTTTTTGCTATGGTTTTTGTCGTGTCTGTTTGTTTGTTTCCAAAAACGTTAAACTTGCTGATAACTTTTGAGTGCGTGGGGCTATTAATTTTTCACAGTTGTATTCCAGAGACAAGATATTTCTCTGGGTTACTACCCGTCCCCTTGAGCTGCGATTTGACGCACTTTTACAAAAAAGTATATGTGTAAACGATGGTTGCTTTGGCTTTGAAATACTGAATGTACAATGCACTGACGTGCATTTTGAGAGGAAATTTACTCTGTAGAGTTTTTCTATTTTGAAATGAAGTACTGAACAATGTATCAGTGATATTCTTTGGGAGGAAATTTACTCCGTAAAATCTAGCTATGTAAACGATGGTTTCTTTGGCATTGAAATACTGAATGTACAATGCACCGACGTGAAGTTAGAGGGGAAATTTACTCTGTAGATTTTTGTTATTACCAAACTGTTATGTTAGTAGTGAACACTGTATCAGTGATAGTCTTTGGGAGGAAATTTATTCCGTTACTTCTAGCTATGTAAACGATGGTTGATTTGGCATTGAAATACTGAATGTACAATGCACCGACGTGAATTTAGAGAGGAAATTTACTCTCTATATTTTTGTTAATAACAAACTGTAATATTAGTAGTGAACACTGTATCAGTGAAATTCTTTGGGAGGAAATTTACTCCGTAAAGTCTTATTATATAAAGGATAGTCGCTTCTGAATTGACTACTGCATGTTACTGTATGAATGTCATTTTGAGAGGAAATTTACTCTCTAGATTTTTATAATTTACAAATTGTAATGTAGTTGTGAAAACTATATCAGTGATAGTCTTTGGGAGGAAATTTACTCCGTAAAATCTAGCTGTGTAAACGATGGTTGCTTTGGCTTTAAAATACTGAATGTGCTATGAACCAATGTGAATTTAGAGAGGAAATTTACCCTGTAGATTTTTCCTATTTTCAAATTGTAATTGTGGTGGTGAACACTCTATCAGTGATATTCTTTGGGAGGAAATTTACTCCGTAAAATCTAGCTGTGTAAATGATGGTTGCGATGGCATTGAAATACTGAAGGTACAATGCACCAATGTGACTTTAGAGAGGAATTTTACTCTCTGTAGATTTTTTGTTATTACCAAACGGCAATGTTAGTGGTTAACACTGCATCAGTGACATTCTTTGGGAGGAAATTTACCCCCTAAAATGTAGCTGTCTATTACACTGTGTCATTGTCATTTTGAGAGGAAATTTACACTGTAGAGTTTTGCTTTTTTCAAACTGTAATGTTAGTAGTGAACACTGTACATGCATCAATGATATTCTTTGGGAGTAAATTTACCCCCTAAAGTGTAGGTGTCTATTACACTGTATCAATGTCATTTTTGAGAGAAAATTTACTCTGTAGATTTTTGCCTTTGTAATGTGGTAGTGAAAACTGTTTCAGTGATAGTCTTTGGGAGGAAATTTACTCCGTAAAATCTAGCTGTGTAAACGATGGTTGCTTTGGCTTTGAAATACTGAATGTACAATGCACCAATGTGAATTTAGAGAGGAAATTTACTCTGTAGATTTTTGCTATTTCTAAATTGTAATTGTTGTAGTGAATACTGTATCAGTGATATTCTTTGGGAGGGAATTTACTCCGTAAAATCTTGTTATATCAAGGATAGTCGCTTTTGAATTGACTACTGTATAACTGTATCAGTGTCATTTTTGAGAGGAAATTTACCCTGTAGATTTTTGCCTTTTTCAAATTGTAATGTGGTAGTGAAAACTGTTTCAGTGATAGTTTTGGGAGGAAATTTACTCCGTAAAATCTAGCTATTTGAACGATGGTTTGCGTTCATTAAACTTTTGATATTCGCACCAATAAATATCTTGTAAACTGTGTTATTTGTTGAGTTTTGTCAACACCTAAGGGAAAAATGCTTAAAACAGAAAAAAAGATTTTCTGTTTTGATTTTGGAATGCGTTTTTTTTTTTTTTTTCAAAACTGATCTCTAAATACGCTATTTAAATCTTTGAAAACTTACTTTTTTGGAAACTGATAAATTCTGAAACTTTCTAGAGGATTTCATTTGTTATTATATACTTTTGCCTCCCATCTCTCGCAAAAAGCGACACATTATATACATTATACTTTGCATTCAAATTTCATAAATATTATTTGATCTCCAAAATATCATATCAAGATTTTAAACCACTCCCCCACCCCACCCCAGTTAAAAAAAATAATATTGGTTTTTGTATTTGAAAACACTTTTTAAAAATGTTTAGATATTTTCCTTTCACCTATTTGACCTTTGAGTAAAAAAATATATTTGTTAACTTATGAACAAAAATGTTTCCATTTCAGAAATCCTTACCAACTTAGAAGTCGAGTGCAAAATTTGCAGCTCTTCACAGGCAAGTGAGTGATATGAGTGAAAAATTCTCGAGAGAAACGTTTAAACAAAAGACAATCAAAAAACCAACTGAGAAATCAGTACATATCGATGATACACTGTCGGTGATAATCGATACTTTCACTATTTATATGGTAACCTGAGAAAACTCAGGTGAATTATTGCTACATGTATTCGTTTTCGGCCATCGTCGTGCGCTGTATGTTAACATTTAAACATTTTCAGCTTCTTCTCAACAACTGCTCAACGAATTTGGCATATAGCGTCTATGGGTGAAGACAGAGTTCTCCACGGACCGTTTAACGTGGCGTCCCTGTCGCAGTAAAATTCCTTAGCGCCATACTTCCGCCACAGTTAAGATATTAGCACCACAGTAAGATCGTCATTGTCAGTACGATAAATATTATGATTTCTTTTAATCAAATACACTTTTAAACCTCAAAATTATATACGATTTTTAATTTTCTAATGATAACTTGTTAATTTACTCTAATAAGGGCCCATTGTTTGGCTTGCACAAACATCTTCTAGACCTCACTGGAAACTTGAAGTCTTTTTTCACACTTCATGAAAACTACAAAGAGAATTTTAAACATTAATTAGTTTGTGCTTAAATTGTTCTACAGTTAACGAAATTTCTAACATTGCACTTACACAAAACATCGTATGCGTCTTATGTGATCTACCAGAATTTCCTCTGTCCTTTAGTGAAAAACTGTATTTGTATATTTAACTTTTGTAACATTTTTTAACTAAGGGTTAAATAATTAAATTCTGTTACTACTGATACTTTTTTTTCTGATTTTATAAGCAAATATCTATTTATTCAGTATGTATGTGTGTTAATTGGTATTTCTATTTGAATTCAATATTGACTAATAGGTGTTGTTTGTTTTTCAATTTATTTTGTGTTTCCTGTGCGAATTTTGTCGCGCAATGGCGAGGAATATTCATATTTCGCGCAATTCCTGCGCCACAGCTAAATTTGAAATAACGGAGACCCCCTGTTGAAGGGAAACAAAATTGTGAATTTCCCTGCCCCTCTGGAGCTTGAAGGATGGGGCAAAAACCACTAAATCTAATGTAATCTTAAAAAACCTTCTTTACTCCTGGAAATCAAGCATTCAAGTGTTGGCATGAATGTAATAAGCATTGATTCCTCCACCAAAATTGTGAAGTTCAATGCCCTAAGGTAAGGGGTTCTAGCGCTAGGATGGGACTATGTAGATTTATATGTAGATTTTATAGAAAAGATGCATTATTTCTACGAAAATCTCCTTGAAAGTCTCTGTCCTGCGTATTAACTAAACTTACTACACACATCAGGCGCGGATCCAGAATTTTTTCAAAGGGGGGGGGGGGGGTTTGAAGTATTTTTCAAAAAGGGGGGTTGATGGCGAAAACAGTTAAAACGTACGTTGTACACATACATATAGTTAAATAACTCAACAGAATATCGATACAGGGTGGAGTATGGTTTTTGAAAGTGGGACGTTGATCAATCTGGGAAAAAGTACTTGTATACGTTACCAGAAAGTTTTTGAAAAAGAAAGGAAAATAAATCTCCGAACCTGAAAATCCTATTTTGTAAAGGGATGGGGTTTTATTTTGTTTTTACAACTGCACAACCAAAAAAATGGAACTTTCTTATTTCTCTTTCTCTTTTGCAAATCCAAAAGGGGGGGGTTGCAACTCCCGTAACCCCCCCTCCCTCTGGATCCGCCACTGCACATAGCTATGATGAGCAAAAACGCCTCTTTCAAAATTGTGAATTTAATGGCCCCTGGGTGTTAGGTTTGGCTTTATTGATTATATAGGGAAAATGCATTAAATTTTTGAAAATCTTCTCTGCTTCTGGGCATTATATAAAATGTCTAAGTACATATTTAGGATAAAAAGTGTGTCTCTTCCAAAATTTGATTTTCGTGGCCTTTAGGTCAGGAATTCTGATA